TCCACTTCATATTCTTTGGGTCTTTCGGTAAAGTCACGTCGATAGGTTCAAGAAAATAACAAAACACTACAATGTTTCGATCGCAACACAAGCGGTCGTCATCAGGAAAGGGGGTTAGTTTCTAAAGGCAAACTGTTTATAAATGTTTAAAATGGGCGTAGCTCAAATGTCAGCAGCATGGGCGGCGACCGCGATGGTGCGTTTCCACCAATAAAGGGCTGCCAGGTAAAAATTAGCATGTTGATGTAAGATCGCAGAGCCGCCACCACGAGGTCGGCGCGCGAAGGTGGCTATGTTGGTGTGACCCCTGCTATGTGTAGTGGGTTCGAATTAGGTGCACACACACGCAGCTTGGAGGCAACACTATTTATTAAACGGTAAGTAATATACACTGTACATGAGTTGGTGACCACCTTCCTCAACTCACTAACACTCTGGAACGCGACACAGACTGGACCAGGCAGGCAATGGCCTGCCTGGCCCAGGACGACGACTCGGGACTTGACGACCGATGATGTCTTCACTTCGGAGTACAGTACAACAGCCTCCCTCCGCATTCACACCACGCTTATATCTGCTTTGGCGTGGCCGGCTCTGCCCAGGCCACGCCTCCCTTCCCAGGCCACGCCTCCCTTCCCCCACCTCTGGGAAGGTCCGGATCCCTCCACCACGTGACCCCCCAGCCACCCCCTTGGGGCCCCCAGCCCTCGTACGGGCCGACACAGTAGTGACCGTTCTATGTCACTACATATGTATGGCAAGGTGATGGTTTTGATTGGGTCCTCAGATGGTTCTTTCCCAACGGTTGGGGTGATAGCTTTACGGATTGTGTCGTCTGAATATCCATTCATCTTGAGAGCTTGGTGTACGTGTTCCAGTTCACTAACAGCTGCCCCGCCTTTGCTGCCCATTTTAAAGATTTATAAACATATTCTAGGGTCTTTCGGTAAAGTCACGTAGATAGGTTAAAAGAAAATAACAACAGTTTTCTTTTAGAAACTAACCCCCTTTCCTGATGACCGTTTGTGTAGCGATCGAAACGTAGTTTTTTGTTATTTTCTTTGACCCTATCTTGTGTGACTTCATAAAAGACCCAACGAATATTAATTCCTGCAGTCACGAAAGCTTTATGTCAAGATATAATCCACTTTGTTGAGATATCATTTGTAGACAGGTTGTTTCTAAACAGAGATGTAGAGCTCTGTGGACCTCGCCTGTTTCTTATCAGCTGTTCACACGCCATGGGTGGCCATGATGAGAATCACATTTCAAAAAATTATTCCCGATGACCCAATTTTGTAAATAGGCATGTGAACAGGACCCTGCGGGGTGGGCTGGTAGGAACGAATAACCAAAGAATATAAACAATGTATTATTACACTTGTTAAGCCAGGAAAGCCCCACTGAGTTAAAAGGTTTTTGTAGGGTCCTGCCAAGTGTTTGCAGTAGGGGGCGTTGTTGCTACCAGGATAGCGTCACTGAGTCTAAAGGTTTTTGTAGGGTCATGCCAAGTGTTTGCAGTAGGGGGCGATGTTGATACACGGACGGACGGACGGACAAACGGACGGACGATATAATCTATTGGTGTCTGGTCCACTTCGTTCTTACCAGTAATAGTTACACTATTCATAGCTATTAACAGACAACCCCTTCAATCGTCTTCCCTTCAATAGCTTACAACAAATGTATCAGCCACACTGAATATTGCATGGAGAGAGATGCAGTTATATTGTGTATTTTGAACTTATTTCGCACAGTACGTAGCCAACCGTGTTAATGGGAGGTGCGTGGGAAAGACAACTAAACACAAAAATCCGTTTTTAAAAATGAGTTTTCAATCTAGATCCAATGTGGAGGTCTTCTACTGCTCGCCACGACGAGGGAGAGAGGGTTCGTGTCGTTTTGTTGTTCTTCCTCCCAGTCGCCCCCCCACCACTCCGGTGGAAGAGTACAGACCACAGTGGGTTCACTGTGCGGTCCATGGTGTGGGTTACATGGCCACAGTCTTCGTACTGTGGCTTGGGAATTGAACTTGGGTCCCCGGGTTCGTAGCGCAGCGCGCTAACAGCTACACTACCGCTCCCCACGCATCCACCTGCCCAACCACACGTCTCTAGCCCGAGGTCCCCTAACCCGAACACCAATGATACCAGCGTGATGCATGACAGATGAGCGCAGAGCCGCGCATTTCGTCGCAACGTGCCAACCTCGCCCCACCATCAGCCCCCACTTATATTCGTCATCGTACATGATCTCTCCACTGCCGGATGAAGGCTTCCCGAAATCGTTGCTATCTCTCACGCACCCGTAAAGTCCCCCCCACCATTCCCACCTAAACGTGAACTTAACCACGTGGTCACCACCTCCATCCTCGTCCCCCCCACCCCACGAAACGTGAACTTAATCGCGTGACTTTACCGAAAGAACCGAAGAGTAATTCCTGCAATCTTGATGTGAAGCTTCGTGATTGCAGGAATCCATAACTCTTTGGTTCTTTCGGTAAAGTCACGTAGTTAGAAATCAAACAAATCACAAGATCCAGGTCCGATTCAATACAATACACAAATTCCGTGATCTAATCCCATCTGTGAAGGATGTCATTCCTGACATGCAATATCCTGGAGTTTACAAACTGAGTTGTACCTGCGGTGGCATATTCTTAGGTTTTTTCGGTAAAGTCACGTAGGTAAAAAAAACATTAAAAAGTAAAATAAAATAAAATTTTATTTTATTTTATTTTCCTTATAAATGTTTTTTACCTACGTGACTTTACCGAAAAAACCTAAGAATATGAATCATTGCAGTCACGAAAGCTTCAAATCTAGAACCTGCGGTGGCAGTTACATTGGGGAAACGAAATGACACGTCTCAGACCGTGTCCGCGAACACAAGGCAGATCTGAAACACGACGGAACCAATACCTCTGCCGTAGCTGACCATTGTTATAACGCTGTGGGCTCACATGATATTGTTTTTTCCGAGACCAAGGTACTCTGCAAACCTTCGGGCTACTATCAAAGGTTTGTTCATGAAGCCATCCAGATACAGGTAGTCCCCCAGTTACGATGGTCCGACTTACGATATTTCGATCTTACGATGGCGAAATGACAAAATCGCCATCAACAACCTAACATCGTTCAAGTATGCAGACGACGGACAGAATGTTGGTGAGTATACGGCACAATATGATACGCCACGATACGTTCAATGCATGTTAAGTTTTTATAGCAGATAGGATTGTCTCCTGAAAAACTTTCTATTAAATTGCAGTTCATATGGGTAGGCTAAGAATTTACCTTGTTTTTTTACTTGACATTTTACTGTGCAATACAGTATTGTAATTAATAAATATATACATTATAGTTTATACAGTACGGTACTGTAAATTGCTCTGTTGTGCTAAATTATCACCATTCTCTAAGACTCCTGGGTAGGCGAGGCCATCTTCGACTTACGCTATTTTTGACTTACGATGGGGTCCTCGTAACGCATCTCCATCGTAAGTAGAGGACTAGCTGTATATAAACAGAAACATGACTTAAACCGAGAAGATGGATACAAATTGAGCAATCATTGGAAGGATGTTATTAACCAGGTCAAACCCTAACTGCTTTATGGTCGTGTCCATCATATCTGCCGGGTACCACTACAGCGAGTCTCGTTTGCCGAGTTACCCCCCCAGCCCCACGTCCCCCCCCACGTCCCCCCCCCCCCCCAACGTCCCCCCCCCCCCCCACGTCCCCCCCCCCCCCCCACGTCCCCCCCCCCCCCCACCACGTCCCCCCCCCCCCCACGTCCCCCCCCCCCCCCCACGTCCCCCCCCCCACGTCCCCCCCCCCACGTCCCCCCCCCCCCACGGCCCCCCCCCCCCCCACGCCCCCCCCCCCACGTCCCCCCCCCCACGTCCCCGCCCCCACGTCCCCCCCCCACGTCCCCCCCCCACGTCCCCCCCCACGTCCCCCCCCCACGTCCCCCCCCCACGTCCCCCCCCACGTCCCCCCCACGCCCCCCCCACGTCCCCCCCCCCCACGTCCCCCCCCCCCACGTCCCCCCCCCACGTCCCCCCCCCCACGTCCCCCCCCACGTCCCCCCCCCACGTCCCCCCCCACGTGCCCACTCCACCCCCACACGTACCCCCCCCACGTCCCCCCCCACGTCCCCCCCCACGTCCCCCCCCACGTCCCCCCCCCCCACTTCCCCCCCCCACGTCCCCCCCCCACGGCCCCCCCCCCCACTTCCCCCCCCACGTCCCCCCCCCCACGTCCCCCCCGTCCCCCCCCCACGTCCCCCCCGTCCCCCCCCCACGTCCCCCACGTCCCCCCCCACTCCACGTCTCCTCTCCCCCCGAGCGCTCACGCAGCGCCCCCCCCTCTCTCTTGCCCCTCCCCCCTTCCCCACCACCCCTCACCCCTCCCCACCACCCCTCACCCCTCCCCACCACCCTCACCCCTCCCCACCACCCTCACCCCTCCCCACCCCCCACCCCTCCCCACCCCTCACCCCTCCCCACCACCCCTCACCCCTCCCCACCACCCCTCACCCCTCCCCACCCCTCCCCACCCCTCACCCCTCCCCACCCCTCACCCCTCCCCACCCCTCCCCACCCCTCACCCCTCCCCCACCCTCCCCACCCCTCCCCACCCCTCACCCCTCCCCACCCCTCCCCACCCCTCACCCCTCCCCACCCCTCACCCCTCCCCACCCCCCACCCCTCACCCCGCACCACCCCTCACCCCTCCCCACCACCCCTCACCCCTCCCCACCCCTCAACCTCCCCACCCCTCAACCCTCCCCACCCCTCACCCCTCCCCACCCCTCCCCACCCCTCACCCCTCCCCACCCCTCCCCACCCCTCCCCACCCCTCACCACCCCTCACCCCTCCCCACCACCCCTCACCCCTCCCCACCCCTCAACCCTCCCCACCCCAACCCTCCCCCCACCCCTCCCCCTTTTACGTCCCAGAATTCCCCGCGTGTCCCTTCGCTATCGGTAGTGACGCCACTGCCGCCATATTGCTTCTCTTTCAAGTCTCTCCGCTGTGAATGTTGAGCTTTCGTCGCCGGTTAATCGCCGCGTCGTCGCGGCGGATCCCAGGTTCATCGCGATTTAATCAACGAAACACATCATTCAGTCGAAGCGGCGAAGAGGAAGAGAATATAGAGGGGCGTCATGGACTTCGCGTCTTTGGTCTGCTCCCCGCGGCCTCGTTGAAGGGAAAGGGGCGGAGCGACAAGGCGAGTCCGAGGCTTCGGCCTTGAGAGGCCTAATTGGCAACTAAAAGCTATTCTTATTTTAACTGTTAAAGTTTGTGCAAGTAATTAGTTTGGTACAGTTATAGTTCGGCGATTGAATACGAAATATAAACGGGATTAAAAGAAGCAGTGGGTAGCTGTTGTACATAAACATTGCATGTGTGACGTAATTGGAACGTAACGTACTGTAAAACTTAACCACGTAGATAACGTTAAAATTGGATTTCAACATAGAACTCTTGATTACAGATCGGCAAGAACACGCTTTATATATTGCAAATACACGTGAATATTGACATATTTTAACATACTATTACACGGACGTACTTAAAAATTCTAATTACCTAGCAATAATACACGCGAGTACACGGACGCGTCGTCACACTCGCTACAGGTAAACCGCGCACACCATTGTACACACTTGCATCGTTACACACGTGGGCCCCCCCTCACCCCGTGCACCAACGTCCACGATGGGCTCCTCGAAGAAGCACAAGGAGAAGGATCGCGGGGGAGTAGAGGACGAGAGGAGACGCGGGGAGCGCGGAGAACGACGCCCGCGCGGCCACAGGTCGCGCTCCAGGTCGCGGGACAGAGACCGCGACCGGGAGCGGGATCGAACCAGGTCGCGCCGGGAGAGAAGGGACCGAGGGGACCGAGGGGAACGAGGGGAAGACACCTCGACAGGCGGACCCCCACCGGAGAAGAGATCGAAACGCGACCACGAGGGAGACGAAGCCGTGACTGAGGGTGGAGATGGTGAGTTACCAAGAGTGGGGGTGTCGGCAATGGTGTGGAGCAGCGGTCGGGAACCTATGGCTCGCGAGCCATATATGGCTCTTCTGGTGACGGTATATGGCTCCCCAGACAATTTTGAGTTGAAAAAAAAATACAAAAATCAGTTTGGAACTGATTTTAAAATACTTGTGATATTGCTTAATAATACTGTGTCATTTTAAAGTAAACAGAAATTAGTTTTGAAGATACATTTCACGGGTCACGGGGCCTCAACGCCTGCATGAAGCTCAACCTCGCCACGTACGAACCAGACTACAAGGCCATCAGCAAAACCATGCAGCACCAGAAGTCGCATTAAAAGTAATACATATTTAATTTATTATACGTTAAAAATACTATATGGCTCTCAATGAAATATATTTAGAAATATTTGGGTTTTATGGCTCTCCCAGTCAAAAAGGTTCCCGACCCCTGGTGTGGAGCCATTGAAGAGGATCAACGATACTGTGCTAGCCCTAATTTTTATTTGACCTGTGTAGCTCGTTTTCAGAAGCGACCTGGCCACAAATGATAATGCCTACTTCGTTATCGTCAAGTGGAAATTTATAGCAAATACTCGTTTCTAAATGTCTAGTGAAAAACCTGAGGGCCCGGAGAAAAATGTACGCTACCACAGGAAGAACATGCAGACTCCAAATATACAGGTGTCGGAATCGAACTTATTGACTCCTGCATACCAGCGAGGGAGTTAACATCTCGCCACCGTGGCGCCTCTACTGGCAATACCGGCCTCAGATAATTATACAACTGAATCGGTATACAGTTTGGCAGATACAGGCTCAAATTCTTGCCCATTTTATAATTGGCAGTACTTGCCTAAGCTGGTGTTGGACTAGCATACTAGCAATACTGGCCTATCTATACAAATCTTGTTATACGCACACCGACCGTATAAAACGCACTGTAATCGATGTTTATGTATGTATGTTGAACTTCTTTCGCACCGCACGTCGCCAACTGTGCTAATAGTAAGGCGCTTTAAAATACAGGGGGGAAATAGTGCATCCTGTAGTCTGGAGAATATGGTAATTGTTGATGTTGGCTGATGGTCTGAGAGTAAAACTTTTTCGCTTCTTTCCCCACAGTCCCAGCGCCAAAGTCGGCATCTGGGAACAATTCCTTGAGTATTGAAGAAACCAAGTGAGTACGAAAACCTTTTACAATGATTCGTACAATTGTTTTGTTTTTATATCGTGAAATAAAGAGGAAAAGAGCATGATGGGGTCTATGTAACAAGTCGAACTTGTATATTAAAATCGGCAAAGCAGTGTGAAGAGGAACTTTACACGAAACTATTACACTTTTTTTTATTTTACCAGGTGAAGCCCATTGATCGATGTAGCTCTTTTTCAGACGCGACCTGGCCAAACTCGATTTGCGGCACATTTTCCATGGTTCGATTCGGAACACATTTGAACAGTCAGCAGTCTGGATTCTGACGTGACTTGTGTTTGTGTAAATATTTACCAATTCAATTCTGCTAAATAAGCCTGATCAAAATACACGTTGGCAATTTATGTTTTTCCTGTTTATACTGTCTGGGAAAATAGGGGTCCGATTTATGACGATCCGATTTCACAATCAGAATATTTATACTGTAGAAATCCGATGAACTATGAAACTCTTTCACAGATGTACAGTAGATTTACAAAGACGAGGTTTCCAGGAACAACGCGTTGTAATGTCGTAAAAGTGGCGGGGGATCTTTACTCGCGCGTGCGCGGATGCTGACACGTACGCATGGAAGTGAGGAAGCTCGTGTTCCATCTGCCTTGTGACTGATTTTAAATTTGTTCTCGTGCAGTAAACTGCGAGCCAAGCTGGGCCTGAAGCCTCTGGAGACCAGCGATGCTGCCAAGCAAAGTGGTGAGTAAACTACTAAACTATATTTTAATTTACCAGGTAAGGCCCACTGATCTAGGTACAGTATTTTCTCCTATAGGGAGGTAGTTGCTTTCCTGAAGAACACGGCGTTATGGAAACATCGTATTATCTCTATATATATATAAAAAAGGGAAATTTGTGATTATGTGTGTCTATTCAAAATGTTTAGCGTACTTCTCGACATGTAACAAACTTGAAATTTGCCATGTGAGTACTTTCCAGACTGTACACCATGCAAACATTATACAAATAGACGTTTGTATTTTTTTTTGGGGGGGGGGGGCTCAATAATGCATATTATTTTGCACGGGAAGTGAGCTGTGACGTGTCACATCTGTCATGTGACCCGCTCATACGGAAGCGTAACGCAGTGTAGTGGTTAGCGCGCTGCGCTACGAACCCGGCGACCCGAGTTCGATTCCCACTCACGGCCACCACCGGTGACGATTATTTGAACCGGTCCTGGGCCTCCCCTAGGTCGACTCAGCCTCAAACGAGTAACTGGTGTGGTGTGTGAACATCGCCACTGGGTAGACAAAGGCGGCCGGGTGTGGTGAATCCAAGTCCCGGGCGAAGCCGGGTAGTAAAGCGAGTAATTAATATAGGGTAAAGCAGAGTCCGGGATAATGTGTGAGATGCGTAGGCAGACTCAACAAAGACTTGAGGCGCGTGGGTAGCATCTAGAAGCATCCGGCAGCATTCCGTCTTGTGTGATGCTACGCCGAGGCAGCTGTACAACCGCTTATTCCTACTCGTGTGATGTATTTTTGTTCACTCAAGCACATTTAGAATTTGCATCCGCGTTATAAAAAAGTGTTCCCTAATACGTTCTTCATGTTATGTCCAATTCACGTCATGAAAACAACACGCGTTATAGGAAAACACTCGCTCTTCTTCAGAAGCAACATGGTCACACATGACAGCTCAAAAAAGTGGCTTATCGTGTGGAAATTTATAGAAGCCAAATACTCTTAACGCACGTTGATTCTAAATGTGGAGGGGAAAACTGGAGGACCTGGAGAAAAATCCACTCGACAACATGGGGAGAACGTGAAAACTCCATTGAATCTACAACGGAATTGAACCTACGACCTCCTGTATACCAGGCGAGGTAGTTAACATCTTGCCACCATTGCACAGCTTAACCCGTCCTCGTTTGCCATTCTCAATCCATTGCTGCACGATGGCATCTCCTAGCTGTTGCCAATCTTTCAAGGTCTAGCAATGCAATACTCCCATCTCGCATCCTGCAAACAAGCCGATCCCATTGCTCCATCTCCTCACCGAACGTCCCCACTGCCCACCCCCGTGCCCCCACGGTGAGCAGAAGAGGGGAGCTCCAAGGACAACCCGGTGCTGTTCCACCCTGAGAACCTGGCGAGCATCAAGAAGAAGGCTGTGCTCAAGGAGAAACTCGCGGCGCTCAAGGAGAAGAGACTCATCAACCAGAAGCTGGGGTGAGTGGTTGGGGCGGTGGGGGGTGGACGGGTAAGTGGATGTGGGTAAACAGCAGGGGGCCACGAGGGACAGGTAGGTGTGATAACAGGGGACCGGGGTGAGGTGGGTGAGCGGGAAGTGACAGTAGAAAGGTGGGGAGAGGGTGGGAGAGGGTGCAGAAGACCATCCAGCATTGGCTCGACCATGGCGTATGGTGATGATTGTGCATATCTTGAGTACAATACAATGTGTGTTTACGTAGCGTCAAATGTGAATGCATCACCTTACACTGCAGACACAATGGGCATTCAGTAGTAATACCTCGTTATACCAAGTCGATGCGTTCCTGGACAATCGTTCGTATCTTGAAATTTCGTATATTGAATAACTCATAACATTAGTACTATGGGAATGCATTCTCAGCCTTTGTAACTGACCATTTCACACTCATAATACTTAACTTACCATTCATTGTAAACAGAGAATTTATATTGAAAATAATATAATATTTTATACTGTACAGTAGTAAAATAAAAAAAACTGACATAGATTGAAGAAACATTGTTTTTCTTATACTGTATATCAATACATGTATTATTTATTAATGTCTTTTTATTCATTATTCTACTTTCTTTTTAGCTTTGTGTAAATAATGGTAAATAAAAATCCGAAGTTTGTGATACGACCTTAATTTACCAAACAAACGTATATCACCGTATTTTCTTTATACATTGAGTCATGCATAGGCAGATGGAAACAAATTCATAACCCTGGGCTTTATAGATTAGGGGCATGGAGTCCGCAGCATGGATGTCTGGGGGAAGCGTCTTCCACAATGTTGGGGCAGCGGCCGCTTGGAGTACTTGGCTGCTATACATTTCACATGATAAGCCACTTCATTGAGTTATCAATTGTGATGGCAATGTCGCTTTATGAACAAGATCTATATAGCTCAGTGGGCCTGACCTGGTAAAATAGTTTAAGTATCATCGCTCGCCATGGGTGGTGCTGATGAGAATCACGTTTAAAAAATTCCTGATGAACCAGTATTGTAAATAGGTGTGTGTATTTGAAGTGTGCATGTTTTCCCCGTGGTCACGTGGATTTTTCTGCGAGTACTCCAGTTTTTCTTTCCCTCCACATTTAGAATCAACGTGCGTTTAGAGCATTTGGCTGCTATAAATGTATACGTGACACGCCACTGCTTTGAGCTGTCGTAAAAAAATATCTATTTTGCCAGGTGAGGCCCACTGAGCTTTATAGCTCTTATTCAGAAGCGGCCTAGCCACAAATTATATTGCGACAAAGTGGCTTATGTGGACATTTCTAGCAGCCAAATACTCTAAATGCAATTTGATTCTAAATGTGGAGGGAAAAACCATAGGATCCATGCGACCACGGTGAGAGAGACGCCAACTCCAAATATACAGGCGTTAGGGTTGGGATCCAACCCACGACCTCCTGTATAGCAGGTGAGGCAGGCAACATCTCGCCACCGGGGCATATTATCGAGCCCACTCACACGCGCCGGGTGGTGGTGGTGGTGGTGCCGGTGCTGTCATCTCCAGGAAGGTGCGCACGCTGGCTGAAGAGGAGGACTGGTTGGATGATGCCGCAGTGTGGGTGCAGCGCAGCCGCAAGCTGCAGCAGGAGAAGGACATGGCGCAGAAGAGGGTGAGCGCTGCTGCTGCTGCTGCTACCGATGATGCTGTTGCACATGACGCTGCTGGTGTTACTACTACTACTGCTGCAGCTTGTGCTTTTACTCATGCTGCTGCTACCGGTGCTGCTGTTGATGTTATTTTCTGCTGGTGATGCTGCTGTTCCTACTATTACTGCTGCTGCTTGTGCTGCTACCGATGCTGCTACTACTGATGTTACTGCTGATGCTGCTACTGCTGATGCTGCTATGACTGCTTCTGATGTTGCGATGACTGCTGCTGCTGCTACCGCGATTGATGCTGTTGCATTACACAACAAGGTGTACATATGTTGAACTTCTTTCACACCGTACGTAGCCAACCGTGCTAATCGAAGTTTCAGGGCAAGGACAACAAACTAAACACGAAAAGCAGGTAGAAAGAAATTAGGATGACATCGTCACGAAAGTTTTTTTTGGTGTTTTTAATTTGTTAACTATATGAATTTGGCATAAATTAACATACGAATAGATCAAAATCAAATGTATACTGTAAAAAGTTACTGTATTTAACTGTACTGTACTGTACTGACTCCAATCTCGAAGACTGCATGGGGTGATAATAGGGCATGTAGAATTGGAGGTGGTTATTCAGAGTCTGAATCCAACTCCCATCAGCTGTGATGGAGGTTCGCCAGATCGGCCTGGGATCGCCGGATATTTTTGGAAGCCGGATAATTGTGTGATGTACTGTTTCTTGTGAACTTACGTACGGACGCTTGGACAGGTGGAGCTATTGTCTCATGAGCGCTGCTTGCGTGTGTTTGGCTGTGCATGGCATCGCGAGCCTCGTATACCGCGTGTCTTTGAGATTGCGTCTCTGCGGTGTCCCCAGGCCAAGGTGCTGGAGGAGATGGACGCCGAGTTTGGCATCAGCAGTCTTGTGGAGGAAGAGATGGGAGCCAAGAAGGAGGTGAGTGGCGTGCAGCCAACGCTGCGATTGTGGTGCTCCTAGCGGTGGTGATGGTGGAGGGCGGCGGTGGTGGAGGTTGTGATGAAGCAGGAGGTGGTTGTGGCGGTGGTAGTGGAGCTTGTGTAGGAGGGAAGAGAAGTGATGCTCACAACAACGAGTGGAGCACCGGGCAATGCTAGCTAGCCATCATTATCGTCGCTGGTTGATGATGACAGCGGTGGCTACAATAATGATTGTGACGATGATGATAATTGTGTTGATGATGATGATGAACATCTCTCTCGTCCCGTAGCCGTCGTACACCTCCAAGGACTTGACGGGGCTCTCTGTCGAGCACGACATCGAGACCTTCCAGGAAGGGCAGACAGTCATCCTGACGCTTAAGGATAAAGGTAAACACTTCCTCCAATTAGCACGGTTAGCTACGTACAGTACTAAAGAAGTTCAACATACATGCATGATATCGATGGCAATGCTCATTGTGTTGATGATTGAAATGTTGGCAATCGTGGCGATGATGTCTCTCCTCCGTTCCACCTCCCCATCCTCCTCGTCGTCTTACCGTTGCTCAGCCATCCTGGATGAGGAGGACGGAGACGTGCTGGTGAACGTGAACATGGTGGACAAGGAGAAGGCTGACAAGAACGTGGAGCTCAAGAAGAAGAAGCCGGTGTATCAGCCCTACGCGGAGGACGAGTCTGTGGACGACCTGGCCATTGTGAGCCTCGCGCGATAAGCCACGCTCATCCCTCACTCGCTGTCTCACCCCGTCGCTCGCTCAGCCGCTCGCTCACCGCCCCCGGTCCACCTCGTCACTCGCTCCCTCCTTCACTCACCCGCTTCCTCACCACGCTCGCCCACCAAACCCGCACGTTCATTCCCCTTCCTTCGCTCGCCCACTCCCTCGCATCTTCGATTTCTCACTACTAACACACCCACTCACTCCCACACACCTACGCCTTCACTCAATCAGTCCTTCACCCACTCGCTCAAAAGACAGATTCCTCTCCCCCCCGTATAGCCTTAACAGACTGTTGGGGCAAGTGTTGTTAGCGAGCATCGAATTAAGACCAACACCTTTGTCTCCCCAGCGCTGATGTTTACACACTACACCAGGTACTTTACTATAAACTATTTTTTATTTTACCAGTTATGGCCCACTGAGCTATATAGCTCTTTTTAAATCCTTTATATTAAGTTCACTTCCGTGCTTGCTTGCTTGCTTAGGACCGTGCAAATCTTTCAGTTGTTTTTTAACCCACTTCCCGTGATCCAATCGAGCTGACATTTTCCACACAGACTCGTTGTGCGATACAATTAATGTTCGTGAAAAATGTATTTCCAAAATTTTACACTGTTTAGGGAAAACAAATTAAATATTTAATTACCAATTGCTTAATACTGGCAGACAATCATCTGACCCATAGGTGGCAGCCATCTCAAGCCAGAGGACGAGAGGACTCTAGCCGCCACGCATATAAAGGATTTATAGTGAAAAACTTTGTTTTTACGGGTTATACTTGTTATAATTGACCTGGCCATAAATTATAGCTCAACCAAGTGGCTTACGTGGAAATCCACACGACCACGTGGGGAGAGACATGCAAACTCCAAATATACAGGTGTCGGGGTCAGGAGGTGGCGAGATGTTAACTACCGTGGTGCCCACTTATTTAAACTGAGGCTGAGTCGACCTAAGGGAGACCTAGGACCAATTCAGGTATTCATCACCAAAGTTGGCCGTGAGCAGGAATCAAACATCAGGTTCGTAGCACTGTGCGCTAACCACTACACCACCGCTCCCCACTTATTCAATAACAACAACAACAACACTCACCACGGTGATGTCACCACCGCTCCTCTGCCACGCCAGGTGCACTTCGAGGCCACGTAAAGTGTTGAATGCTTGCTGACAGGAGGTCACGGGACAGACCCATGTTTTTGTTTTTTTGTTTGTTGCGGTTGCACCCGATTCAAGAGCCAAATGGCTCACAGGGCTCTACCTAATAAATTAAACTGAAACTGACTAAGATGGCTGGCAGAGCATCGTTCCTCTGCCCTCCATTATTGGAAACCTCCAACTGCCCACTAGCGTCCTTCACGAGCCTCTTCAATTGCCACACACACACTCGGAGCCATCCACCTACCCCTCCATCACTCACCTCTCCCTCCCTGTCGCCCTCACCTCATTGCAGATGCGCCAGCGGGCCGTGCTGTCCAAGTACGATGAGGAGATCGACGGGGAGAAGAGGAAGTCGTTCCAGCTGGAGCACGGCGGGACGGCGGACGGCAGCTGGGAGCGCGAGCTGCAAAGCGTGCGCGACACGCTGCGCAGCCAGGCCCAGCGGCTCGAGACTGCGGTGCCCCAGATAGCCAACGAGTTCTACTCACCCCAAGAGATGGTGAGACGGCGACAGCGAAGACGAAACGGCCAACGTCGTTTGTAACCGGCTGGCTGTGCCGCTTTGAGCCAGTCGAGTGAAGTGTGGAAGGCTCCCGCCGCTGGCGGGAGGAGGTCACGAGACGGACCCAGGTGCAGAGCTATCCCTAGGGGTACGGCAAATCGGGGCGACTGCCCTGGGCCCCCACGCTTTGAGGGGGCCCCGCACGTCGTTGTCACTTTGTCAGGTGTAATACTTGCGATTCAGTTTGAAGCCATCGGGGTGGGGAGGCCCACAGTGAGATTTGCCTTGGGCCACGCACCCCGCCCTCCCCATGGATGGCCCTGCCTAGGTGCCGTGGGTTGACTGACTGAGATGACTGGCAGATGCACCATATGTGCACCCTGCTGTGCCACCTCGCTCCGCTCGTTGTTGAGTTACTCCCCTGCCTTCTGCCGTTCTCTCGTAGCTTGCCACGGGGTGTCACGGCGGCGAGATGTTCACTCCCTTACCTGGTATATACTGGAGGTCGTGGGTTCGACCCCGAGGCCTGCTGTATATTTGGAGTTTGCGTGTCTCTCTCCCTGTGGTCGTGTGGATTTGTCTCCGGCTCCTCCGGTTTTTCCTTCAATATTTATAATCAACAGAACACGTTTAGAGTATTTGGCTGCTATACACGTGAAAAGCCACTTCATTGAGACATCATTTGTGGCCAAATCGCTTCTGAAAAATAGCTGCATAGTTCAGTGGTCCTTACCTGGTAAAACAAAAAAATTGAATAGCTTGACAGATGGACGGCAGTGATGAACGTGCTTTCCAACCTTCATCGGGAAAGCATTTCAAAAAAATAGAACTGTCGGTTTTTTGTTGTTTTCCGGGCGGTCGCGAACGTCCCCTTGACCCTTGATCTACCCCCCCACCACCCCCTTTTCCAAAACAATGACAACGTAGGTCATGTTCCGAAAGACGAAGCGCCGGGTAAAGAAGATCCGGCGCAGAGAGAAGACGTTGCGTGCCGACCAGCTGGCACCGCTCCCCGGCAAGACCTCGGGGGGGGCGGCGGCCTCAGACCTCGGCTCGCGGTGAGGCGGCCTCCAAGGGCTGTGGTTGAGGCGGCAGTCCAGCAGCAAGTAGGCTGGCTGGCCAATGTTTACACATCGCACCAAATACTAAGTTGAGGCTGAGTTGATGTAGGGGAGGCCCAGGACCAGTTCAGATGATTGTCACTGGTATTGGCCACGAGCGGGAATCGATCTCGGTTTGCTGGTAACTGCTACACAAGCGCTCCCCACAATCGCCTACCCCTCCTACACACCACCACACTCTGCTACACACCACCACACACTCCTACCCCTACATACCACCACACACTCCTACACACCACCACACAATCCTACCCCTACACACCACCACACTCACCTACCCGTACACACCACCACACTCACCTACACACCACCACGCTCTCCTACCCCTACACACCACCACACACTCCTACACACCACCACACAATCCTACCCCTACACACCACCACACTCTCCTACCCCTACACACCACCACGCTTTCCTACCCCTACACACCACCACGCTTTCCTACCCCTACACACCACCACACACTCCTACACACCACCACACTCTCCTACCCCTACACACCACCACACACTCCTACACACCACCACACTCTCCTACCCCTACACACCACCACACACTCCTACCCCTACACACCACCACACTCTCCTAACCCTACACACCACCACACACTCCTACACACCACCACGCTCTCCTACCCCTACACACCACGACACTCACCACCTCCCCTCTCACCCCCCCTTCCCCCCCAGGCGTCGTCCGGGCACTCTGCCTCTGCACTCTGCAGAGGGCGAGGGTGAGCAGGCGGAGGGTGAGGAGGTTCGTGGCGATGGCAGGGGGGGTGGTGAGGAGCGACAGGAGGAGGAGGAGGGGCATGATGCCGACACCACGGTGCAGGACATGCAAATGAGCGACGACGAGGGTGAGACGTTGCACATCGCGGGGGATTTGTCTTCGCCCAGCAGTGGGTAGACTACGGCTGCTGATGATGTTGGTGATGGCGGGGTGCATCTGTGTACGACTACCTGGTGCAATGTGTGGACATCACCATTAGGGAGACAAAGGCGGCCGGGCGTGGTGCTGTCCACCCACTCCCTCGTGTGCCGTGCCGGCCTTCATAAGCGCCGCTCGCTAACAGTACTTGTCCCAACAGTGTTAAGGCTATACGGGGGCATCGTTGTGTGTGTGTGTATGGCGGTTAGAGGAGCTGGTGACGCCCGCGTCACCCGTCGTGGTGGTGGAGGAGGACGAGGCGGAACAGGAGCTGCAGAGGCAGCTGGACAAGCAGCGGCGACTCCGGCAGAAGAGGGACCTGCGTGACGCGGCTATCAGGGTGCTCGCTCGCTCGCACGCTCACACGCACGCTCACACGCATACACTACTACACTAAAACTAAATGTGTTTTTATTTTACCAGGTCAGGCCCCACTGAGCTTTGTAGCTCTTTTTCAGAAGAGACCTGGCTATCACAAATGATAGCTCAACGAAGCGGCTCATCGTCGTGCGGAAATTTATAGCAGCAGCCAAATACTCTCAACACGTTGATTCTAAATGTGGAGGGAAATACCGGAGGACCCAGAGAAAAAGCCACACGACCATAGGGAGAACATGCAGACTCGAAATTTACAGGCGCCAGAGTCGGGATTGAACCCATGCCCTCCTGTATACCAGGAATGGGAGTTAACATGTTGCCATCGTGGCGCCCCATTCTTTCACAAAGATCCCCCCCCCATACAGCTTTCATCGAGATATTGGGGCAAGTGCTGTTAGCGAGTAGCACCTATGAAGGCCAGCACAGCACACAAGGGAATGGGTAGCCAGCAATACGCCCAGCCAACTTTGTATCCCCAGTAGCGATGTTTACACACAGCACCAGGTACTCATTTGAGGCGGAGTCAACCTAGGGGAAGCCCAGAACCAGTTCAGATAATCGCTGTTGGTGTTGGCCATGAGCGGGAATTGAACCCAGGTCGCCAGGTTTGTAGCGCAATGCGCTAACAGTAACATTGCCGCTCGATTACACGCACACCCACACAAACAAAGATGCTCCGTGTAGCCATTGACAGGCCATTGGGGCAAGTGTTGTTGGCGAGCCTGCGCCTATGAAGGCCAGCACCATGTCCAGCTGCCTTTATCTCCCCATTAACGATCTTTACACATCGCCGCACCGAGTACTCACTTGAGGCTCGAACTCGCACGCAAGCCCGCGTGATTGTGCGCTCGTGCACACAAGCTCAGTCGCGTGGTCACACGCAAGCGCGCATGCTTGTACCATCACACGCGCATGCACACGCATACGCTCACACGTGCGAGCGAGTGGTTCGGTGAATAAGTGGGTGAGTGAGTGCGCGCTTGGTGAGAAAGTTGAGCGAGCGCATGCCTGGTTCCGCGAATGAAAGAACAAGCGACGCGCTGACAACCACGAAGTCTGCCAGCACAACAAAAACGACAACAGTAGCAGCCACGGCCAAAACCAAACCCACCCACCAAACTCGTCCACCTCGGTTTCCAGGTCGCGACGGTGGTGCGGAGCATGCAGAGCGGGGAGCGACGAGGTGAGAACGACGGTGGCGAGGACGAGGAGGAGGAGGACGAGGAGCGGATGGTTCTGGGGGAGCGAGACCGGCATGGCCACATCGTCTTCAACTCCACGTCAGAGTTCTGCCGCACGCTCGGGGAAATCCCCACCTACGGCCTGTCGGGGAACCGCGACGACCGCGACGACCTGCTGGTATGGGCGTCGCCAACCTCGCCCTACCACGCTACCCACCCACTTGCTGTCTTACTCACGCGTGGTTTCGCTCGCTACTCACTCGCAGTCTCACTTGCTCACTTGCCCGCTGCTGTCTTATCCCCTCCCCACTCGCTCGCCCACTCGCTCGCCCACTCGCTCATTCATCCCCTCGCACCTCGCTCGCTCACTCACCCTCTGTCTTATCCCCTCGCTCACTTCCTGCTCACTCGCTCACCCCTTGTCTCGCTCACTTACCCGCTTCCCTCCTCACGCGCCTGCTCACTTATTCTTCGCTCATTCCTTGCTCACATATGTATGTATATTGAACTTCCTTTGCACCGAACGTAGCCAAAGGTGCTAACGATGAACCACTTTCTCTCACTCATCCTTTAGCTCACTCACTCATCCCCTCGCTCGCTTCTTGCTGGCTCACTCAAACTCACCCGCGTTTCTGGTGAGTGCGTAAGTGAATGAGAGTAATTGTGAGCAATTGTGCAAGAGCTCCTGTGATGATGAAACTTTCGCACCCCCCCCCACTGCCCCTTCTCCCCTCTGCTGCCCCCCCCCCCACACACACAGGACTTTGAGCAGAGCGACTCGGAGATGCGAGCGGACGAGGAGGACGAGGAGGGGGCCGGCTGGAGCGCAGTCAACCTGGAGGAAGAGCGGGAGCGTGTGGAGGTTGCCCACTCACCCCCCACTCACCCCCCACTCACCCCCCACTCACCCCCCACTCACCATTGTCCACGTGTGTGCATGTTTATGGGGAACGGGTAGTGCAACGGTTCACGCGTTGCGCTACGAACCTAGCAAACAGAGTTTGATTCCTACTCATGACCAACACCAGTGATGATTATCTGAACCAGTCTTGAGCCTCTCTTAGGTCGACTCGGCCTCAAATGAGTATCTGTTGCGGTGTGTAACGATCGCGACGGTGGAGGCCAAAGGCTTTCACGGGTGGTGCTGGCCACCCACCCTCTTGTGTGCTGTACCGGCTTACATAGGTGCTACTCGCTAACAGCACTTGCCCCTACAGTATGTTCATATAGGGGGGTCTTTGTCTTATGCAAGCATCTGTCTGTGTGCGCGTGTGTTGCCATGTGTGTCTGTCTTGTGTGTATGTGTGCGTGTGTCTTGTCTCTGTGTGTGAGAGCGTGTCTTGTCTGTGTATCTCAATTGTCTCTTGTGTGTGTGCGTGACCACACAGACCCCAACGGGAGCTGGTGCAATCCTGGAGGAAGAGCCGATGATTACGGGTGGTCTCGCATCCGCTCTCAAGCTCTGCAACACCAAGGGTGAGTGCTGCTGCTCTTGCTGCTTCTCCTCCTGCCTGTTACTTCTCCTCATGCCCCTCCTCATGCTTTTACTCCTGCTGCTGCTCCTGCTCCTCCCGTAGCTGTATGCCTCTCTGTATAGCCGTTTGTCTCTTTGGGTGTGTAGATCTCTATGTATGTACATTGGCAACCATGCTAATCGGAGGTCTGTGTGCGTAGCTGTCTGCCTATCTGTATGCATGTATAGCCGTCTGTGTGTAGCTGCCTATTTGTGTGCGAGTATCTGTCTCGATCTGTATAGCCGTCCGCCTGTCTCTATAGCCGTCTGTGTATGCCCCCCTCCCCCTGCGCACGTGCAGGGTACCTAGAGACGGAGGTATCGAAGATGGCGCGCGTCAAAAACCCCCACAAGACCCTCCCCTCCGCCCTCTACACCATCGAGGACAAGAAGTGAGGATGCTGCTCGCCCGATTTTTTTAATGGCCATGTCGATCACCCCAGATCGAACCGTCACCCCCAGGGGCTTAAACCAAAACTATAAACTACAGCTAGTCCTCTACTTACGATGGAGATGCGTTACGAGGACCCCATCGTACCAAAACTATAAACTACAGCTAGTCCTCTACTTACGATGGAGATGCGTTACGAGGACCCCATCGTACCAAAACTAAAAACTACAGCTAGTCCTCTACTTACGATGGAGATGCGTTACGAGGACCCCATCGTACCAAAACTATAAACTACAGCTAGTCCTCTACTTACGATGGAGATGCGTTACGAGGACCCCATCGTACCAAAACTATAAACTACAGCTAGTCCTCTACTTACGATGGAGATGCGTTACGAGGACCCCATCGTACCAAAACTATAAACTACAGCTAGTCCTCTACTTACGATGGAGATGCGTTACGAGGACCCCATCGTACCAAAACTATAAACTACAGCTAGTCCTCTACTTACGATGGAGATGCGTTACGAGGACCCCATCGTAAGTCGAAAATATCGTAAGTCGAAGATGGCCTCGCCTACCCAAGTCTTAACGAATGGTGATAATTGAGCAAAACAGAGCAATTTACAGTACCGTACTGTATAAACTATATACCGTATGTATTTATTAATTACAATACTGTATTGCATAGTAAAATGTCAAGTAAAAAAAACAAGGTAAATTCTTAGCCTACCTATATGAACTGCAATTTAATAGAACGTTTTTTCAGGAAACAATCCTATCGGCTATAAAAACTTTTAACATGCATTGAACGTATCCTATCGTGGTAACCCTAAAATGTAATCGCTAAAGCTACATATCGTACATGCATTGAACGTATCGTAACGTATCATATTGTACTGTACTCGCCAAGATCGTACCTCGTACGCTGTTGCGTTTGCCTGCCGCGCGAAATTTAAAATATTTAACAATTTTTTCATATCGCCATCGTAAGATGGAAATATCGTAAGTCATCGTAACTCGGGGACTCTGTTTTTATTTCACAAGGTAAGTACCACTGGGCTCTACAGCTGTTTTTCATAACAATCTGGCTATCACAAACGATAGCTCAACAAATTAGCTCATCGTGTGGAAATTTATAGCAGTCAAATACTCTAAACGCACGTTGATTCTAAATGTGGAGGGAAAACCGGAGGTCCCAGAGAAAAATCCATGCTACCATGGGAAGAACTTGAAAACTCCAAATATACAGCAGGCGTCAGGGTCTGGGTCGAACCCACAACCGCCTGTATATCAGGCGAGGTAGTTCACATCTCCTAGCCAGTGGCATTGTGGTTGCCGATGCAGTGTGCCCCAACACGGCCATTATTTCTGCGAGAGACGGAGACATGCTCAAAATCGAAAGAATCAGAATATTTATACTGAAGGGATCCGACGATTTATAAACCTCTTCCCAGATGTCCAGTCAGAACGTTACAACAAGCAATGCAAAACCCCGATAGGAGTGCAAAGTATAGCAAAGGTAAACAAATCAGTTAAATATACAAATAAAACCAAACAATTGTGATCTTACTGTAATAATCCTTCTGAGACGGCTTCGGAATCGGTCCTCTTTATTTCCACTTCCACAATACACTTTACTCACACTCTCCGTTGCTGGCAGACAACAGAGAGCGGGCAGACTTCACACCAAGTTCCCACCGCGCACGTGGCACCCAGAGCCCCCGTACGCGCGTGGCTCTTGCTCTCCTCGTTCCCCAGTCTGCTCTCGATCGTTCTCTCTCTCTCTTAATCCCTTCGTCACGTGGTACCCCCCAGCCAATCCTCCATAGACAGCATTCACCGGTCTCGATGGTTCCCTGTCAATCCCGGGACCACGCCTCTGATCCGGCTCCCCATTAGCTGGGGCCCCGAATGGCCAGGCCACTCCCCCCTGCTAACACGCCGCGATCACGCAGAGGCCATGTTCCCTGTCTCAACCCTTATTGGCTACAAAGCAGGACCGGCAAGCCAATCCCCACGTGAACCCTCTATGGCTGTTATTACATTACCAACTAAAGCTCACTGAGCTGTCTGACCACAAATGATAGCCCAACAAAGTGGCTTATCATGTGGAAATGTATAGCAACAAAATAATCCAAACACATTCTAAATGTGTGGAGGGAAAAACCGGAGGATTTCACCAGCACTGGCAACTGTTTTTGGCATGGCCATCGTGAACCTCCTGACAGGGTGAGAGACGGCCACCACAGGGCTTGAAGCCAGCATGTCGCTGTCTCCGATACGGCCATCGAACCCACGACCTACTGCATACTAGTCGAGGGAGTTAACATCTCGCCACTGCACCACCATTTATCGTCCACTGTGAGAGAAGCGCACCGCGAGTAGTAGTCGTGGTAGTATTACGGTTTGTATGCAGCGCGCAATTCACTGTGGCTGCCCCTTCAAATAAAACGTTGAATCTCTGCAACAACGCACGCTACTATTGCTGGGCCTCGCCACAGCCTCGGGAGGTTTTCTCATTGACAATCGATTCTCCCCCCCACCCCATCTGTGCGCGCGCGCGCGCGTTGCAGTCACGGCAGCGATGACAAGTACAGCCGCCGGGAGGAGTACCGCGCCTACGGGCAGGAGTTCAAGGACAAGGAGCACTACCGGCCAGACGTGCGCATCGAGTACGTGGACGAGACGGGGCGCAAGCTCACGCCCAAGGAGGTGCGCTGCTTCCTGCTCCCCTCCCTTGACGCGAGGGAGCATGTGAAACGATGGGGCGTGGCGAGGTTTCGTGTCGAGATTGCTCAGACATTGGGAACTAAACGGTTGCCCGCCTCGTTGCGTTGGTCCTGATGAGACGCGGCACGGACGTGGGCTCCAGAGGGACTTGTGGTAGGGAGGTCGGTGGGTTTTTCAAGGTTTGACATTTTTTTTCCGGTGCTGGAGGGGTCTCAAGTTGCAAGCCCACAGTTCCGTGGAACACGTTAGGAATAGTGTTAGAATAGTTAGGAACGGCGCGCGTCGTTGGGAACAGGGTGCGTCGTTGTGAATGGTGTTCGTCGTTGTGAATGGTGTTCGTCGTTGTGAATGGTGTTCGTCGTTGTGAATGGTGTTCGTCGTTGTGAATGGTGTGCATTGCTGTGTACACACACAGGCGTTCCGACAGCTGTCTCACCGCTTCCATGGGAAGGGCTCGGGGAGGATGAAAACTGAGAAACGGCAAAAGAAACTCGAAGAGGAGCACGTGAGTGACTTGGAAACACTCCGAAGCATTTTCTCCCACGCACCAAATGCAACACTCCATAGCACAACCAAACACTCTCAAATAAACAAACACTGATGCTTTCACTCCTGAACTCCTGCTCTCAAACACTTCTCCACTACAACTTGCAAATGCTCACCTCTCAAACTCACACTAACACACGGACAAAATCCCCCATATCGTCTTAACAGACTGTTGGGGCTAATGCTGTTCGTCAGCAGCACCTATGATTGCCAGCACTGGTGCGAGTTGCCTTAGTCTCCCTTGTGGAAATGTTTACACACTGCACCCAGGTACTCATTTGAGGCCGAGTCGACCTAGGGGAGGCCCAGGACTGGTTCAGATAATCGTCACCGGCATTAGCTGTGAGCAGATATCGAACTCTGATCGCCGGATTCGTAGTGTAGTGCACTAACCTCTACACTACCTGCTTCCCAGAACACAGACACACACTCAAGTACTCTGTCTGTAACACTCCTCCCGCAATGTGCCAACGCTCAAACCGCTCCCTGCCATGGCCTTGTGGTGGCGCGCTCACCGCTTGTCGCTGAGATTCACAGTTGGAATCTGGCAGGGTACCCCAGTTAATACGGAGGTAAATTGACGGTACAATGTTGCCCGTGTTGTGACGCTGCCCTCCCCACCTCCCCTCCACGCGGCAGATGCTGAGGAAGATGAGTTCGAGTGACACTCCACTTGGCACCGTTGCCCTACTGCAGGAGAAGCAGAAGGCCCAGAAGACGCCATTCATCATCTTGAGCGGCAGCGGCAAGAGCATGAACGCGTGCGTAGATCCACTCGCCCACATGCTTGCTCGCTCTCCCGCTCGCTCTCCCGCTCGCTCTCCCGCTCGCTCTTGCGCTTATTCGCTCGCGCTCCCACTCGTTTGCTCGCTCTCCCACTCGTTAGCTCACTCATGTCACCAGAGGAACACGAGTCCTTCACGCGTCACCAAACGTTCACTTGCTCACGTCAGAGCAGAGCTACTAACTCGCGTTACGATAGACTCGCTCTCTCACGTTCACCCTTACCCCAACCTGTCAACGTCACCTTAGCCCTTAACTCTAACCTTATCGCTAACCCATAACCCTGACGCTCGGTGTGTGTGTGTGTGATTACAGGAACACAATAACGAAGTGAGGGGGTAGACCCAGGCCAGTGTGGGCACCTCCTGTGCCGCTCGACCTCCCACCCCCGGGGGGGTCTCCTCTCCTCGACCTTCTGCCTCCACCGACGACGACGACCAAGGATCCCCAATATAGCCTTGAGCTCAGTGTTCTTCATTGCAAGGCCCACGAGCCACTGGCGGCACCTGACGTACGGCACGCCCAGCAATATACAAATGTGAAAACACCCTGTCACCGTGCTGCTGTCAAACCCAATGGTTTCAAATGCATGGCGACCCTCACAATGATATGTCTTATCAACTGAAAGTGGCCCCTTGGAAAATTATTGAAGAACACTGCTTTATCCAGGTATTTGAGAACACAACGCCTATGAAGGCCGGCAATGGCACACGACAGAGCGGGGTTGGGGGGGGGGGGGCTGGGTGGCCAAACACCATGCCCAGCCACCTTTATCTCCCCCGTACTGTTGTGTGTTTACACATCGCAGCAGGTAACTCATTTAAGGCTGAGTCGGCGGCGTACGGGAGGTCCACGACCTTTCAGATATTATTTACTGCTCGATGTTATCCTTCCATTAAATTAATCAGCAGCAGCAGAAACCCGGTGACGTTAGAAACGCCTCCATTGTGTCGCCAAGAGATGGAGACGCTTCCTTTGTTTACCCCCTCACAGCGAGCAGTGCACCACCTCGTGGTACAGAAATGGCGCAGAACTACTTTTGCATCCCCTCCTAGAGCCCTGTTGTCTGCAGTCGGTGAGGTGTCAATTAAATCAAAAGCCTTGATAACAGGCGTTGGGCCGGCACTGCAGAAAAACCTTGGTTGGAATCCAGGATTCAGACAGTGGCGATTAAGCCGATCTCTATGCGAGTCTCCAAGTCTCAATGTCAGTCATTGGTGGCCGGACTGAGACCAACTCGCTACACTGAAGAACTTTGTTTAATCGTGACTGGCTTAACCCAGATTGGAACTTGTAATCTCAACGGTGCCGGGTCGGGGGGGTGGTGTCTAAACCCAGATATTATGAATTCCCCAAGTCGCTCAGCCACATGCATTGATGTCCAGGTGTGCTTCAGTGTTGGATCTGTCCCATGAAAGTAACCCCCTCCCTTGTATGTAAATTACTGTCCCACGTCTGCATCTCTACGACCTGTATGTTTTGTTACAATAAAAATATTGGTGGGCCTTGTGTAACATGCGAGCATGTGTGTGTGTATATTTGACGTAGGGGAGAGTAGTGGTGTAGCAGCACGCTGCGCTACGAATCTGGCTACCCGAGTTGGATTTCCGCTCGCAGCCAACACCAGTGACAATTATCTGAACCAGTCTAGGGCCTTCCCTGGGTCGACTCGGCCTCAAATGAGTACCTAGTGCAGTGTGTAAACATCACAGGGGAGACAATGGCGGCTGGGCGTGGTATTGGCCACCTACCCCCTCGTGTGCCGTGCCAGCCTTCATAGGTGCACGCCAACAGCACTCGCCATAACACTACGTGCAAGGCTATATTTGGAATCTTTGTATTTGTGATAGTTTTAAACTGCTAAGTGGAGTGAAAGTTTTCAATATGCGTACCACCTTCGAGTGCAGGGGGGTCGGCAACTTGTGGCTCTTTCAGGACTTCCGTGACGTTATTTATTAAGGTCCGTCTCATATTGTGGCTCGTGGTTGTTTTTTTTTTTACCGAATCCGAAAACGGCTCTTGTTTTGGTTGCAGGCCCTCTGTGCTAGTGTGTGTAATGAGCGACTTCCACGACACGTCGTGTAGAGGGCACTTTTATTCTTATGCGGGCACAACACAGGCCAACCTTATCCTTTCACTGTGAGCACAGCACTTAGAGATTCACGTCTCTATTGGCTACACACACACGGCCGATTACTCGGCGCGGTTCCACCGTCCACCCTCACTACGCCGCTGGCCGACGGGCGGCGTGACGGGGATGGTGATGTAAGCCCGCAAGAGATCTTCCACGTGGCCGCACGACGGAGAGAGATGACGGCGAGCAGCGACGCAGTCCGGACCGCAGACGAGCCTCGGTCCGCCCCCGCTTAATCTCCCCTCCCCAGGCGCGGCGCGGCTCCGCATCTGGCCACGCCCTCTTGTGGAACCTTCGAGCAGGTTCCCGGAGCATCTCGGCCAACCCCTTTCAGATTGGATGTGTCTTAGCGGTGCCCGTACCCGCGCTTCCCTTTTCCAGCCAGCAGGTGTCATGTCATGACATGCATCAGAAACGTGGACACCGTGGGGCCGTGGTGGTTGCTGTTGTTGCACATGGATGCCTGTAAGCAAGCACTTGAGGCAGCAACGAGGCTTGGTTGGGTCATCACCAGATTCCGTGAATCCTCTGGCTTGCCAGAAGGCAGTGCAACAAAATGTGGACTCCGCCTGTTCCATCTTTTCGGGGATAGAGTTGACTCCGACGTGGATTAATTTGGGCCGATAACATCGCGTTTCTGATGCGTATCACCAACATAAATAAGCAGACAATTCATCTCCCCACACAAACCGTCTCTCCTCGGAATTCATACTTGACCAGCATTGATTCGCAACAAGCTAAACAACTACCGGTTTCGACATGCAGTGTCTCGCCTGCAGTCCGCCTTGTTTGAATCAATGGTGGTGAACTGCCGATATGGTCGATAAGGATCGATCAGGTGGCACGTTGATACACAGCCACTAGTGCGACTGGCCCTGGACCGTATCAATTTTGACTAAACTTTCGTGAATGCAGAAATTCATATTCTTGGTTCTTTCGGTAAAGTCACGTAGATAATAAAAATAAAATTATATTTAAAATTTTAATTTAAAATAAAAGCAAAAAAACACGTTTCGATCGCAACACAAGCGGTCTTCATCAGGCGGAGAGAAAAGAGGGGGCAAGCCTTCGCATGCAACTGCTTATAAAGGGCTTTCAGAGTGAGCAAAGCTGTGCGCCGTAGACAGCATGGGTGGGGCAGCCAGTGCCAATGTAGGAGCAAAGCACCAGAAGTACAAGTGGAATAAGCGACTTCCACGACAACTCTTGACTGGTGTCTTTTATTCAGCCGAATGTCTGCACCGCTCCGCACTCTCTCTCTGGGCAGTTCCCTGGCTTCCCCCGCTGCCTTGACGGTCCGTCTCGATCCACTTACCGCGGCACGCCTCTCTCTCTCTCCCCCTCTCCGTTCACGCCGCTGCTTGGCGGCGTGCCCAGGAGGAGATGCTGCTTCGCTGGAGGTTCGCCACGTGGTCGTTGGCGAGGAGAGGTCGAGCGGCGATGCAGTCCGGACCCGAGGCTTCCCACACCGACCCCGAGTCCTCTCCTGCCTCCGCTTATTTGCCTCCCGGTGGAGCCACGCCCGCTCGTGGAACCCTCTGGATGGTTACCGTATAGTAGCTCCGCCCGTTACCTTTGGCCCAGAGGTCACAAATGGGTTTTGATTCCTTACCCGTACCCGGCCGCACCAGGGTCGCAAACGGCTGCCCTGTATCCGTACCCGGCCGGGTACGGGTAGCCGGGTATCGGGTATCCGGTTGCGACCTCTGCTTTGGCCTAGATCGAATCCCTACTCCAGATTGGATACCGGTTACCCAGCGGTGGCCATGCAGACGTCCCCTGTAACCCCCCCAGGTGACGCTCTCTCATTACACAAGTAAAGCGAGTGCGTTAGACAATGGGGGGAGGGAGGGGGGTGGTAGAGATGGGGGGACATTGCACCTCGCTACACCCATCCACACTACTGACGGTAGAGGTTGACAAGAAAACACAAATCAAGTCATGACCTAAAGTGGTTGACATCTTTCCAATGATTGCCGAGTTTAAAACCGTCGTCTCGGTTGAAATTGCGTCTGTATATATGTGTAGCGTCGGTGTCAGGCAATGATTGGGACCTTCATATCCCCGGTGTATTGGCCGCCTACAGAATGGCACCCCATGCGGCCACGGGGTTTTCCCCATTCTGCCTGATGTCCGGCAGTGAGGTCAACCCCCCCCTGCCCCCCCCCCCCCCGTGGACATTCAATTGCGCACTAAGCAGCCCCTCCCCTAAGTCCAAGATCGCCGAACATATTCGATCATTGGAAAAATGTTATTAACCATGCAAAAAAGATTTAACTACACATATTTGTACCATCTCATTTGACAGGTACTTTTCTACTTTACCGAGTGTTGACATCCCCAGCGTTTAACAGCACTGCCTTTTTTTGTATTTGGATTCTCAACCAACACCGGTTTAGGTCGAGGTACACCGATTGTTCTCTTGCACATGACGACGTTGGCCAATTTCTCTTGTAGCCCTGCCCACCACCCCCATGTGACATTCCCTGGTCACCACATTCAGATAAGCCCCTCCCCCCTTAACTTGTATTTAAGGGCTTGTCTCTTGGAATTTTGCCTCACTTGATGCACTCATTCTAGCTGTGACGGTTCCACCTGATGACGGAGACTTGTGTTGCCTCCGAAACGTCGTGATTTATTATTTAATTTTATTTCTATTATTACTTTTAGTAATTTTATTGTTTTACCCACGTGACTTTACCGAAAAAACCTAAGAATATGAATATAGCTATGAAGCTCTTTTTCACATGTCCAGTCGGGGCATTTGGTCAGTAAGTAACAATCCTTGCAGTCACGACAGCTTCAAATCTAGAAATAGCCCTTGCAGGCGGTGTGGTAGCTCTCATCGGCGAATGCGGCCCTCTCTGAGAATGAGTGGAGAACTTTGTTCGCGATATCGATGAAAGGCAATCCACAGCAGTGCGACTGTGGTCATGCTACTCACAACATGCGCAGTAAACTCACCAGCAGCACTCCACGAACTCTCTCTCTCTCTGCTGAGGCCTTCTCGTCGTGGAGAGCAACAGCAGCACCTCCACATTGAACACCGAGAGCCTGAATCATCTTGCTGCTGCTGCTGCAATCATACTCAAGAATAGAATACAGACTAGTACGTTAAGGCTCATGATCAAGTTAAGCATCTGAATCTGATGAGCTATAATGCTCTTTTTCACAAATATCAGAACGTTACAAACAACACAAACACGATAGGAGTGCAAAGTATAGGAAAGGTGAATACGTAGCAAAAATATACAAATAAAGCGAAACTCTTTTTAAATCCTTTATATTAAGTTCGCTTGCGTGCTTGCTTGCTTGCTTACGACCGTGCAAACCTTTCGGTCGTTTTTTAACCCACTTCCCGTGATCCAATCGAGCTGACATTTTGCACACAGACTCGTTGTGCGAGACAATTAATGTTCGTGAAAAAAAATTCCAAAATTGTACACTGTTTAGGGAAAACAAATTAAATATTTAATTACCAATTGCTTAATACTGGCAGACAATCATCTGACCCATAGGTGGCAGCCATCTCAAGCCAGAGGACGAGAGGACGCTAGCCGCCACGCATATAAAGGATTTAGAGTGAAAAACTTTGTTTTTACGGGTTATACTTATTATCTTGCCAGGTAAGCCCCACTGGAGTATAACGTGTTTTCAGAAGCGGCCTGGCCACAAACGATCGCCCACTTCATCAGTGGCTGATGAAGTGGACATTTATAGCAGCCAAATATTCTAAAAGCGTGATGTTGATTCTTAAAAGTAGAGGGGAAGCCCAGAGATAAAATCCACGCGACCACAGGGAGAGAGAGAGAGAGACGCAAACTCCAAACATGCAGCAGCGTCAGAGTATGAAACAGAGCTGTGTAGCTCCTCCTATTCCTCCAGGATGAACACATAATATCGTGTGGGGGCCTGAAAATGGGAAACCTACATACGAGGAGACGTTTCGCAAAATGAAGCTATTTTCATCGCAACAAATATCATATACTCTTTGGTTCTTTCGGTAAAGTCACGTAGGTATACAATAAAATAAAAAAAAAGATATGTGCCAATTTCAAAATGTTCAATTGATTAACGTGAACGTGTGGTGGGTGTGGTCAGATATTGTGTGGGTGGGGGCTGAGGGGCGTGGCCTGGCGAGAGTGGGCGTGGTCAGATATTGTGTGGGTGGGGGCTTAGGGGCGTGGCCTGGTGGGAGTGGGCGTGGTCAGATATTGTGTGGGTGGGGGCTGAGGGGCGTGGCCTGGTGGGAGTGGGCGTGGTCAGATATTGTGTGGTGGGGGCTGAGGGGCGTGGCCTGGTGGGAGTGGGCGTGGTCAGGTATTTTGTGGGTGGGGGCTGAGGGGCGTGGCCTGGTGGGAGTGGGCGTGGTCAGGTATTTTGTGGGTGGGGGCTGAGGGGCGTGGCCCGGTGGGAGTGGGCGTGGTCAGGTATTGTGTGGGTGGGGGCTGAGGGGCGTGGCCTGGTGGGAGTGGGCGTGGTCAGGTATTGTGTGGGTGGGGTCTGAGGGGCGTGGCCTGGTGGGAGTGGGCGTGGTCAAGTATTATGTGGGCGGGGTCTGAGGGGCGTGGCCTGGTGGGAGTGGGCGTGGTCAAGTATTATGTGGGCGGGGTCTGAGGGGCGTGGCCTGGTGGTAGTGGGCGTGGTCAGGTATTGTGTGGGCGGGGTCTGAGGGGCGTGGCCTGGTGGGAGTGGGCGTGGTCAGGTATTGTGTGGGTGGGGGCTGAGGGGCGTGGCCTGGTGGGAGTGGGCGTGGTCAAGTATTATGTGGGCGGGGTCTGAGGGGCGTGGCCTGGTGGTAGTGGGCGTGGTCAGGTATTGTGTGGGCGGGGTCTGGGGGGCGTGGCCTGGTGGGAGTGGGCGTGGTCAGGTATTGTGTGGGTGGGGGCTGAGGGGCGTGGCCTGGTGGGAGTGGGCGTGGTCAAGTATTGTGTGGGCGGGGTCTGAGGGGCGTGGCCCGGTGGGAGTGGGCGTGGTCAGGTATTGTGTGGGTGGAGTCTGAGGGGCGTGGCCTGGTGGGAGTGGGCGTGGTCAGGTATTGTGTGGGTGGGGGCTGAGGGGCGTGGCCTGGTGAGAGTGGGCGTGGTCAGATATTGTGTGGGTGGGGTCTGAGGGGCGTGGCCTGGTGAGAGTGGGCGTGGGCAATAGGGGGGGGGGGGGTGGGCGAGTGACGTAACCGTGAATTTAAATATTGGTCGGTTGGTCGCGGGCGTCCACGTGACACGCATCGCGCCAATCAGAGAAGCAGGCGAGCTCGGGGGGGGTCTCCGTGAGAGGATCAGCCGCGGTGAGTTGAGGGGGGAAGAACGCCGCGATGGCGTCTCGGCTCGTCGCCACAAACGCTCGCGACTCGAACGCCTCCTCATCGGTGGCGGGGAAGCGACGGTGGTAGCCGCGGCAGCTGCGGGTCGAGTTTGCTCTGCCTCGTCGCTGGTTTCCCGCGCGTTGGCTGTCGACTGACGCGGCCCAATTCCCGCCTCAGCCTTGCCTGGATCGATTCTGATATATTGGTAGTGATTACGAGTTAATCGACTCCCGCCGCGTCAACGTTGCCGCCGAATCGATTCCTAGTAGAGCTCGCTGCGGGAATCGATTGTGAGGCTTGTTCTATTTTTACGACTGGTTTGCTGAGTGTGTTTTAACAATTGAAGTTTTCGTGACTGCAGGAATTCGATTTCTTTGGGTGTTTCGGTGAAAAGTTGCGTAGATTTAAATACAATAACAACATGACGACGTCTGGATGGCAACACAAGCGACCATCTCCTCCCGGTGTGATTCGCTTTCGGCCTTTCTGCGGTGACTTTACCGAGAGACCCAAAGCAATTTTAAGGTAAATTTGGGTTTCTTCACCCAAATTAGGTTTTGGGTTTGACCCGCTAGATTTTCATTGACCCTCTGTGAAAAAAGCGCTTTTATAGCTTACTATACCAGTATGGACTCCACTTCTTATCCCGAGTATATAAATTACGAGTTCAAGCGCGAATATAATCTTACAACGTAATTGCTATTATGTATCTTCTTGGTTCTTTCGGTAAAGTCACGTAGAAGGGAAGTAATAAAATAATAAAAATAAAACATAATAAAATCAAATAAAATCAAAAAATCAAATAATTCAGGTGAAGAAGACGGCTGCTTGCGTTGTAGCCGAAACGTGATAATTATTTGATTTTATTATGTTTTATTTTAATTATTTTATTACTTCCCTTCTACGTGACTTTACCGAAAGAACCAAGAAGATGAATCCCTTTAATGAGTTGTGTTAAACGCTCTATTTACATTTCCTTGTTTCAGTTTTCGTTCCGCTTCGTCCGTTACTGTCCCCGCGCCTAATGCCACAGCAGGTGACGCGGATCGATTAAGATCGATTGGGGGGGGGGGGGGGCGCGTTGCGAGCTCATCAGCCATGGTCAGTCCCCTGCTGGGTGAATGCCTTTCCAGAGCCACCGCCATCAACGTCCTCCACAGGTGGAGGAGAAATCCGATCAGCTATGAAGCTGAGCTCCCCCCCCCTCTCCTCTCCCCTCAACTTACTTTTAAGGGATTACATCTTGAATCATTGCCTCACTTGATGCAGCAAATCTGGCTGTGACGGTCCCACCTGATGACGGAGACTTGTGTTGCCTCCGAAACGTCGTGATTTTCATTTTATTTTACTTTTATTAATTTTAATGTTTTACCTATGTGACTTTACCGAAAAAACCTAAGAATATGAATATAGCTATGAAGCTCTTTTTCACATGTCCAGTCGGGGCATTTGGTCAGTAAGTAACAACGAGCGTTCTCCCCGCGTAAGAGTTCCATCCTTTGCCTGTTACTCCGTCATTTTTCTCAACCATAATCGACTTGTCGATTAGCACAACAGCCGTCACCCCTTCTTCGAGTCGTGACTTGTCCTGTCAGTCGATTTCGTTTCATTTAAACGACGGAAGTGACCTGCGTGTGTTTTGTAATCTACGCGTCGCCAGCAGCCGAGGGAGGAGGGACAGCCGACGTGCGGAGATGGAGCGGTACAATCGAATCGTGCGCAGAAAACTGGCTGCATTGTTGCATAGCTGGACCGTGAGAGATGGTAACAGCTTCGGAGAGGGCTTCGTCCAGCAGTGGATGGCTGATGATGTTGATTATTCGAGTGAAATTGATTATTCGTTGTGAGATTTAGTACAAAGAAAGATTTTAGTTTGACTTTGTATTTAAATATTTTTTTTATTAATCTTTAACAAATTGTCGAGGTTACGTCACGCACCTCTTCCCTGTTGAAGTATCCCTCGATTTACCAACGCAAGGTCAGTTTAGGAAATTTCCCATTAACGCGATTGACAAATTACGGACACTTTTCGATTTAAAGAAATTCGATTTCGGCGTAAACGAAATTCCACTGCGGCACGCGTGTGGTGAGATCATCGAACTAGAAGCGCCCTGAGAGGGGGGCAGCCATCCTCATCCTCGACAGCGTCACGGTGTCGTCGTCCCCCCCCCCCGCTACAGCGCAACAGAAACGCGTCCACATCGCCTCGAAAGTCATTCCAACATGCAGCAGATCTGAGTTCGCTTAAATGGGTAATTATTTAGGTTTTAGATAAATAATTGTTCCATCGTTTTAATATTCATGTTAATTTTGTTTTGTGAAAAGTGGTATCGGTGTATATTATTAATTTAGGAGTAGGGTTGGAATGACTGTCCGAAACACATCGCCCATTTTTTCGAATTAAATTAATGGGAAAAGCCATTTCCAGTTTAGGAAATTTCGTTCCACGCGTGTTTTTTGAAGCACGCCATTCCTTTATTAAAATCGTCGAGAGACACCTGTTCTTGACACGTGGCTCTGCGGGGTGTGTGCGCGTCTCTTCGTGCATGCTTCGCGTCAACAGATTTGCGTTATTTGATTGAAAACGGTACACAGGTTTTGTCTGCTCCGGAAAGTACGGAGTGTCTTAGAACAGTTTCACTCATAGGCTTTCACAACCAATATCCATAATAGAGATTTTTTTTTTGGGGTTAGATCACGTAAATATAAATGTGTCGTTTAAGCAGCCATCACCCGACACAGCCAATTAGTAAGGTTTGTCACGTCAGCAGAACGTGCCAATTACTTCCTACTGCAGCACACCGCCTGTGTTGGAGAGTAAACCCATGGCATTACATTTCAAGTATTGTTTCGTTGGTTGAGTTGTCATTGAGTTGTGGTTTGCACGCCGTGCATAGAAGATGCGGTTGAGTTGTGGTGAACGTGTGGCGTGTGGGAGCTGTTGAGGTGGTTAGTTAAGTGGCGGGATGACGCGCTGCCCTAAGTATACAGCCGCTGTGGTTGCGGTTGAGTGGGGAGCTGTCGTGTTCCGGTTCGCCCGCTGCGCTTCGAACCCAGCGACACGACTTCGATTTCAGCACACCGCCAACACAAATGATCTGAACCGGTCCTAGGCCTCCCCTAGGTCTACTCAGCCTCTAATGAGTACCTGGTGCGGTTTGTAAACATCGCCACTAAAGAGACAACGGTGGCTGGGCGTGGTGCTTGCCACCCACCCCCTCGTGTGCCGTGCCGGCCTTCATGGGCGCTACTCACGAACAGCACTTGCCTCAACAGTCTGTTAAGGCTATACGGGGATCTTTGTTGCGGTTGCGTGCAGGAGATGTCGTCCACCTCGCAGAAGCACCGCTCCTTCGTGGCAGAGCCCATGGGAGAGAAGCCGGTGACGGCGCTCGCCGGCATTGGCGACACCCTGGGGGGACGGCTCATCGAACAGGGCTTCGACAGGGTGACTCGCTCGCTCACTCACCCGCCTACTCGCCTGCCTGCTCGCTCACCCGCCCACTCACTCGCTCACCTGCTCACTCGGCCACCTGCTCACCCACTCCCCCACTTGCATGCTCGCACTCTCACTAAACCACCCACTCACTTACTCGCCCGCCTACCCGCATGTTCACCCACCCGCATACTCACTCGCCCACCACTCGCTCGCCCACCACTCGCTCGCCCACCACTCGCTCGCTTACTCACTTGCGCACACACTCATTAATGAAGTCACGTCATGGAGTTCTTCATTCACGATTGGATTTACAGAGCTGCACAACCAAATGTCTCATGCTTTCTTCCCCCACAACCCCTACCACACCACTGCTCCCTCCCTCCCTTTGTCAATCCCTTGCCCCCTTCCTCACTGTCTCCTCCCTCTCCTTAATTCCCTCCACATATCTTCCCTCCCTCCTTACCTTGCTTCCTCCATATCTCCCCATCTCCCTCCGCTCTCCCCCGTGTAGGCATACGTGGTGCTGGGCCAGTTTCTGGTTCTCAAGAAGGAGGAGGAGCTCTTCAAGGAGTGGCTCAAGGAAGTCTGCAATGCTAACTCCAAGCAGTCGTCGGACTGCTTCACTTGCCTGCGCGAGTGGTGCGACGCCTTCCTGTGAGGCGCCCGTCGTCACGGCGGCCCGTCGCTGTGCGTTTACCCTCAGAAATGTCACCACCGCCGCCTCCTCCTGCGCTCACCGCTCACTCGCTTGTTTTGCTGCCCGGAGTGAGGCTTGGTTGCTCACTCCACCCCGCTCCCCATGCGATCCCGGCGATGCCGGTTCACTCGCCTACTTAGTCATTCACTGTGGCGATGCTCGCCCACACACCGACCGCACGTCGTTCCACACGCTCACCCACCGCTCGCTCGACCACGCATCCACCGCTTGCTCGTCCACGCACTCGCCCACCACTTGCTCGCCCATCCGCAGATTTACCGACCGCTCGGTCAGACACCCACACACTCGCCTCTCGCCCGCTCACTTGCCCACACACTCACCCACCGCTCGCTCACACCCACCGCTTGCTCGCCCACATACTCAGCCACCGCTCGCTCGCACACCCACTCGCCGCTCGCTCCCACGCCCACTACTCGCTCGCTGTTTCGCCCACACACCCACCGCTCCCTTGCACACTCTCCCACTGCTCGCTCAAACACCCACACACCCAGCCACCGCTCGCCCACACACTCGCCCACCGCTCGCCTGCACATCCGCACTCGCTCGCCCGCTCGCTTGCCCACACACTCGCCCACCACGCACTCGCCCACCGCTCGCTCACACACTCGCCCACCATGCGTTCGTCCACCGCTCGCTCACACACCTACCGAGTCCGGCAAATCGCTGGTGGGAAAAGAAAAAAAACAACCACGGGTCTCTCTCGCTGGCACGGCTGCTCGCATGTTCCAGTGTCGAAGGAGCGAGTCTCGGCAGTGGCTGTCGGTGGTTTGTTGGCTATGTGATTGTTTGATTTTTAATGGGATGCGTCGGTGGCGGGGGGGTGGACAGATGTTTGGTTCCGTTTGTTGCGGAGGGATTTAACTGGGGGGAAAAGAAGCACGTGGTGGATTTTTCTTGAAATTGTTCATCTTGACACGGGATTTTAATTGTTCTGTCCCGAGGGAGGGTCGGTTTCGCTGTGGAGAGGGAACGGAGACCCATTTTACTCTACGCGATGTTAATAAAGTCTTTGATATTAGGCTGCTTGTGCGCTCTGTCTGTTGTTAAAGTATAAGTTGTTCTCTACCGGAGTGGTTCTCAACCCTGGGGGTAAGTGGGCAATGTCCCAGGGGGGGCTACGTGAGCTGATTGATAAATGTTACATCATGCATGAGAGTCATTGGTGAATAATCAATGTATGAATGCAAATATAAAATAACTACAGTAGAATGTAAATCTAAATGGTAACCGAGAACGATATAAAGTAATTTTCTAAGCTCCTTGATCGTAAACAATGTGGTCTCCAAGTGTAACCAGCGAGTGCTATCAAAATTGCGTCAAGCATGCAGAGCGTCTGTTTATTGATTTTCATTCATACATTTATTTCTCAACAATGTTGGGTTAAGGAAGGGGGTTACTAAGTTGAAACAATTCAATAAGGGGGGTACACTATCCAACAAGTAAACCCGTAAAAACAAAGTTTTTCACTCTAAATCCTTTATATGCGTCGCGGCTAGAGTCCTCTCGTCCTCTGGCTTGAGATGGCTGCAATCTATGAGTCAGATGATTGCCAGTATTAAGCAATTGGTAATTAAATATTTAATTTGTTTTCCCTAAACTAAAATTTTGGGAAAAAATTTTCACGAAAATTAATTGTCACAACGAGTCTGTGTGGAAAATGTCAGCTCGACTGGATCACGGGAAGTGGGTTAAAAAACGAGAAGATTTGCACGGTCGTAAGCACGCAAGCGAACTTAATATAAAGGATTTAAAAAAGGTCGAGAACCACTGAGCTATCGCACTCGCGTTAGGGTTATCTTATCGTCCATATTTGTCCTTCCCCCACACCTCCGTTAGCACGGTTATCTACGTACGGTGCAAAAGAAGTTCAACATCGAGTACATCTTTACCGTGTGGACTGCGCAGTGAACCCACTGATCCATGCTCATTCAACATCGGAGGAACGGCAAAACGTCACCGATGTGCGCATGTTGAACTTCCTTTGCACCGTACTAACCCAACCGTGCTAATCGGAGGTGCAGGGGGAAGGACTACAAACTAAACAAGCGGTTCTCAAGCGGACAGGAACTGCTGAAGCCCTCGTCATGACGAGCAGCAGCACCTTCACATTGGCATCGAGATCCTGGATTGCATCGCTGCTGCAACTGCCATCGTCCAATGGTGACTGCACTGCTGGATGAAGGCCTCCCCAATCTGTGCACGACGACATGTATCAGACCAGGTCAATGGTGACGAGTGCACTGCCGATGCAGTCATAGTCGCCATGTTCGTTCACGTGACCACTATTGGCCGTGTTGGGTGTAGGAGGGGGCAGTGAAAGTATGCCGAGCAGGTCGTGCGCGAACCAATGCCCCCCCCCCCCCCTATTGGGGTGCCTCGTGGCGGGATGTTAACTCCCTCGCCTGGTGCGTAGGAGGTTTCGTCGGTTCGATCCCAAACCGTATAGTTAGAGTTTGCATCTCGCTCCCTCTGGTCGCGTGGGCTTTTCTGTGGGTCCTCTTGGGTTTTCCTTCACATTTAGAATCCACATAACGCGTTCAGAGTGTTTGGCTGCTATACATTTCCACACGAAGATAAGCCACTTCGTTGAGCTATCATTTGTGGCCAGGTCGCTTTCGAGCTCGGTAGAACTTACCTGGTAAGAATACAAATAGTTGTCAGATGAGAGGTCATTTGTGGCAAAAGTGGGGATGAGTGATGGGTGTGTGTGTGCCCCTAGCCGAGCAGATTCTGGTTAGGCTGATTGAGGGAGCTCAACGGACTAAAGAAGAGACCTCTGATACGGCACAGGAGGGCAGAGGTGTGGACTCGAGTCATGTGACTTGGACTCGAGTCAGACTCGAGTCATGAATTTGATGACTTGAGACTCGACTTGGACTTGCATAACAATGGCTTTGTCCCACCTCTGAGGTGTGGACTCGAGTCATGTGACTTGGACTCGAGTCAGACTCGAGTCATGAATTTGATGACTTGAGACTCGACTTGGACTTGCATAATAATGACTTTGTCCCACCTCTGAGGTGTGGACTCGAGTCATGTGACTTGGACTCGAGTCAGACTCGAGTCATGAATTTGATGACTTGAGACTCGACTTGGACTTGCATAACAATGACTTTGTCCCACCTCTGCAGGAGGGTGTGGAGCAAAGTGGACTTTCCGAATACCGATACCAGCCGTGTCAAAATCGGCTTCTGTGGAGGGAGGCTCGTGAAGGACGCTGCTGGTTGGTTGGAAGCAGTCGCCCTCCAATAACAGCAGAGGGCGGAAGAGCGACGCTCATGACGAGCGAAGCGCTGGGCGGCTCAAATGCAGAGAATCGAACTCAGGGCAGCAGCAGCAGCCTCCTCCACACGTGGCCTGAAGGTGCCACCTCGCCTGGCGTCACGTGCATCTGGCGAACTGCGGCTGTGTGTGTGGTGACACAAGGGAATGTTTGAGCGTGGTTCGGTGAGATGTGTGTGGGTAGCTGTCGTGTAGCGGTTCGCGTGCTGCGCTCCGACCACGGCGAAACGAGTTCCCATTCATGCTGACGAACACCAGCGCCGGTGACGATTATCTGGGCCTCCCCGAGGTCCACTCAAATGAGTACCTGGTGCGGTGTGTCAACATCGCCACTGAATCGACAAAGGCGGTTGGGCGTGTTGCTGGCCACACTCGTGTGCCGTGCCGGCGTTTATAATAAGTGCTCACGAACAGCACTTTCCCCACACAGCACGTGAAGGCTACAGGGGGGGATCTTTGTCGCGGTATGTGTTTGTATATGTGTCTGTGTACACAATGTGGCAGATCGGTGGCGCAGCGGTGAGCGCACTGCGCTACGAACCCGGCTCAACCTGAGTTCGATTACCGGCCGCGTCCTGCAATCAGTTGGGGGAGAGATTTTCTGGCACCTCGCAACTCTCCCCCACCACCACCGCCCTTTTACAAAGCTGCGATGCCCAGCGTGGTGAGCTTCGGTGAAACAGCCCCACCCACACATGGGGGGCGGGGTGGGGGGGGCATGCGCTTATCCAGCAGTGGATTGGCTAAAGCTGTGGTCCGTGACACGGGAGCGATGATAAAACCGACAGCGCCACTTCTCGGAATCGAACCGTCGGGCACTTCTGAGTATTGGCCGCGAATTCTTCCCTCGTGAAGGTATAAAGAGGGGGGCGGGGCTAGGGATGGGGGAGGGTGAGGGGGTGGGGCGAGGGATGGGGAGGGTGAGCGGGCAATGCCGGCAGGTGGCCACGCGGCCACATAATCCATTACGCAACAGTTTTGTATTTTCTACTCAGCAGAGTTTGCCGATGAGTAACATTGCCCCAAAGGTCCCCAGCACGTCAGGCGACCAGCAACAAACAACGCTGGTATCATAGTTGTAATAGATGTTGTTGTGAGAGCTTGGAGGAGGAGAGATACGATGGTGATGACGGGAGAAGGAATTCCAGAGTGGACCTTAACTTATTTTGCACCGTACATAGGCAACCGTGCTAATCGGAGCAGTGTGGTTGAGTAGTGGGCGTGAGTGGTTGGATGGGTGAGTGAGTGGGCGAGTGAGTAGCTAGGTGAGTGGGTGGGCGAGTGAGTGGCGAGGTGAGTGAGTGGCTAGGTGAGTGAGTGGCTGGGTGAGTGAGTGTGGTGGTGAGTGTGCAGGTGAGTGAGTGTGTCGGTGAGTGTGTAGGTGAGTAAGTGGCTAGGTGAGTGAGTGTGTAGATGAGTGAGCGTGTAGGTGAGTGTGTAGGTGAGTGAGTGTGTAGGTGCGTGTGTAGGTGAGTGAGTGTGTAGGTGAGTGTGTAGGTGAGTGTGTAGGTGAGTGTGTGGCTAGGTGAGTGTGTAGGTGAGTGTCTAGGTGAGTGTCTAGGTGAGTGTGTAGGTGAGTGTGTGGCTAGGTGAGTGTGTAGGTGAGTGTGTAGGTGAGTGTCTAGGTGAGTGTGTAGGTGAGTGTGTGGCTAGGTGAGTGTGTAGGTGAGTGAGTGTGGTGGTGAGATGATGACACGCGGTGAACGCGCCCCCAACTGTTGCTGCCTGACTCGATGGTTCCCGTGAGTGTTATCGACTAATAGATGTATAAATTGGTTCCTATGATCGACTCTAGCGTGAGACAGACAATACCAACGAGATGTAACAAGAGAGAGAATACAAACTGAATCGCGACCCTGCATCGCGACAATATAATCGCTGGAATAGTGAATCGTTTCAGGTTTCATAATAATAAATCCTCCATAACCCCCACCACGCAACCCCCCCCCCCACCATAGCCCCCCCCCCACGCACCCCCCCCCCCCCCCACCATAACCCCCCCCCTCCACTCTCCCCACACCCCGTTCCGACTGTCTCTGTTTCCGCCAACTTCCTCCTCCTGCCGTTCCACCAATTTCTAAAAACGCCCGCCCACTCCACCCACCAAGCCCCCACCCACTCCACCCACTCCACCCACCAAGTGTTACCCATTCCACCCACCAAGTGTTACCCATTCTACCCACCAAGCCCCCCACCCACTCCACCCACCAAGCCCCCCATCCATTCCACCCACCAAGCCCCACCCACTCCACCCACTCCAC